TTAAGTAATACCAGCCAGATTGATATGATGATCTCCGACGCCACAGCTGCTCCGTGCATGCATGCAGTGACATGGATTAGAGACGGTTTGGATGCTGCTGTACTGAGCATTGCAATATATTTATTTTCACTATGTTATTTATTTATGATTATCCTTAGGCTAAGCAAAGATTTGATGTCAGCTGTTGCTGACTTTTTTCTACAGTCAATAGTTACTGAAATAGAGCCCTGCTGTTTTGACAGGGCCTTTTCTTTAAATATAATTTTAAAATGTCGATACAGTAGCCCCTTTTTTTAAAATGTCTATGCTTAAGTTTTTATAGGTGTTGCTATCTGCTTTGTGTAGCAGTTATGTTATAAGACATTAACGATAAAACAGAATATTGTTGTTCTATTTTTAGACACATCTCGCGATCGACTGGGAATCTCCGCGAGATCGACCGGTCGATCGCGATCGACTGGTTGGGCACCTCTGATTTACACCTATGTTTCAGAGGCTTGAAATTCAGAACTGATACACGTGATTGTATTGGGTTACTCATATTCTGACTATTTGGTGACGTAGTTCAGCCACCTGGTATTTCCCTCTCCAAATATAATGACCATCAGAGTGAGCATTCTTAACTTATAGGCTATTGTGCCACTTCTCCCCCATTCGGAGTTTGACTGTATCAGAGAAGAGGTAGGCCTATGTCTAAAGACATCTCATTTGCAATAGAACTGTACCAGATATTTCCATACAACTACTGGTTAGTGTTCAATAGCACCTACTGGTTAGTGTTCAATAGCACCTACTGGTTAGTGTTCAATAGCACCCTAGACAATTCAGTAATGGTATATTTTTTAGGGATTTCTGTTTTTCTGATAAATGAAAGAAATGTTCTTATCACCAAAAAGTACAATTTCCGTCTAAACTAAAGCTAAGTCTACAGGACTATAATTCAGTATTTCTTTAGTTAAATAATTGTCTGACTATTTGGTGATGTAGGACAGCCACCTGGTTCATACCTCAGCAAATCTGAAGAGGAAAAGAGTGATCATTCTCAAGTTATGAGCTTTCTTGTCACCTTTCCCATTCGGCCTGGTCTAATTTGGCTCTTTTTCAGGGATTGGGGTAGTTCTAAAGAACAACCAAAAAAAAACATTTTTTCCCCCAAAATAAAATGTGACAACAATCAATTTCATTAATGGGAGACCCTAAAGATAAGAAAAATCATTGTTGTCATTTGTTCTACCTCGGGTAGGGGTATCTCAAAATCTGAGGGCCCTTCCTGCTAGACTAAAAGGAGTAAATGCAATAGACACAAGTAAAAGCTAACGTTAGGCTATTACAAAAATTACATCACGATCACGTGACCTCACATCACCACCGCTAAGCTAAAGGCGGCTAAAGTTTGGCGTAATGATATTTAGTCGTCTAACTTAGTATCTTTTTAAGACAAATAGAAGTGTCAGACATTCACCAGTGTGATATTTACTGAGGTATTTTATGCCGTAGGACAAAACGTGAAAATGTCAATCACAAAAAACGATGGACTTTAAGACAAAGGAACCGGAAGTGGTAAAAATCTGACTAATTTCAGAGCTTTAGGTCTCATTTCTGGACAACGTGTCTCACCCCCTGCATGCCACGCTGGTTTCCTACCGGAGCACTTTCAGCCACAGACTGAGATCACTGATAACCACCACACAGCGCCACAGGAGGTCTTTCCTCCCAGTGGCAATCAACTCTTTAACTCTTCACCCCTAAGTAAAGGGAACTGAGAACTTCCACACCAACACCATGTGCAATATACATATCAATATAATTAACATCATTGCAATACACTCGCTGCTATATATATGTAACTATGTGCAATATTATTATATTATTATTATTAATAATGCTATGATAACGTGCAATTACGTAACTGCCACTACGTTTTATTTTTTGCACTACTAACTACTAAATACTGCTAATAATTGCATTGATTGTGTGACCATCTATGTTTCTATGTTTCTATGTTTCATGTTGTCTGTAGATGGTTAATTGCTCTTTTTGCTGCACTTTTAGGCCCTTTCTCATTTCATCAAATCCCCTCCTCGACTCCTCGACTCCTCGGTCCTCCGGTAGTGACCCGGAAATGAATTTCAGCGCGCCATGTTGAAGGACATCTCATTTCTCTAAATGCACACCGAGGACCGAGCATCGAGTGTCGAAGAGGCTCTCTGGAGGAGCTATGATCGAGGATACACTGATGGTCCTCCACGGATGCATTTCCGGGAACAGAGATGTTTCAAAGAGGCGTGACGCACGGCCGGACTGATCTCAGCCAATGACAGCTCTGCATGCATCCCCTGGATATTATTTTATTAACTGCTCTCATCGTGACGCGATGTTTCCAGAGAGAACAGCTGTGAGGTCCGTGCAGAAAGCAGAGCAGTGTGTATAATATATATCACTCAGTATAACAGGCCTACTCTCTTTATTTGCTGTAGTTTAGTAGATATCTACAAACAAAGAGTCGATATTTTTCTAAGACCATTGCTTCACATAATAAAATACACAATGGCTGTTAGGCTGTTTTAGGAACTGTATGTGCGTGGTGTGTGGTGTAGGGTGTGTGTGGTACAGTGTGTAGGTGTGTGTGTGGTACAGTGTGTAGGTGTGTGTGTGGCACAGTGTAGGTGTGTGTGTGGTACAGTGTGTAGGTGTGTGTGTGGTACAGTGTAGGTGTGTGTGTGGTACAGTGTAGGTGTGTGTGTGGTACAGTGTGTAGGTGTGTGTGTGGTTACAGTGTAGGTGTGTGTGGTACAGTGTAGGTGTGTGTGTGGTACAGTGTAGGGCCGGACTGGGACAATAAGTCAGGCCGGGAATTATACACCCAGTCAGGCCACTACCAGTTTTTTGTGCCATTTTGCTGGATTTATTTGTCAATATTTACAGCGTTGCTGCCCATAGTGATAGCCCTCTAAATCTACTACCCAAAAATAAACATATGGACATGGGTTACTATTTTAAAAATGTGCAAATCTATTTAGGAACCTATGTGAACATATTTTAAGTGGGGATGGACCTCAAATCCTATAGGGGGGTCCGGGGGCATGCTCCCCGGTAAGATTATTTTTTTAAATGTTGGACTTAAATGCATCAATCTGGTGCACTTTGAGGGGGAAATAAAGAGACTACACCTACATGAAACAGAACTGTATACATTTAAATAATCATAAAATCATAAAAACATGGCCATAACCAATAACATACCATATCCAATATGAAAAAACATTGAAACTTGTTTATTTATTTGTTTTTGGTTCATTTATAGTTGTGAGTGTGTCTGTGCTCCTGAACCAGCCTCTCCTGTCTCCCTCCTCTCCCCCCTGCTCCTCTTTGAGGCAGCAGCAAAGACTAGTTTTTAGCTCTCAACAAGTTTTAATAGTTTATCTTACCTTTTTTCACCTAGTTAACGTTTTTTTAAATTATTATTCATGCATATTTTGCTAATCACTCCCCCCTCAAATGGAAATATGTGTTTACATAAATGGTGACCAAACCGTTTGAGACCCACTGAGATAACTTAGACAAAATTAACTATCTAAACACTCAGAGAGTCCTTTTACCTCACCTGAGCTGAGGTTATCAGTCTCTCAGTCTGACTGGAGAGGACTCTCCTCCACCTTGTTGTTGAAAAAGCTCCTTATATCCGTTAGTGCAGCTAGCTAGCACCAGATGCTAACACAACAATACACGTAACCGGTGCGTGCGCTTTATCTCACTCGCTCGCGCCACACATACACTAACACACACCCTCCCGAGCTTGAATGACACACAGAGACCAATCGAGGACATTAGTATGATCTGTATGAAAGTGGCCATGTCGGCAGGCCACATCATGTAGACAGCCAGTCACCCTCTGTGAGGCAGAGTCAGACCCACATTTGCGCAGCGTTGCGTTCACAATACATACATACAAAAAAAAAAATCCTTAGGCCAGCAGGCCACTTAACAGGCCAGGCCATCGGGAAACCTCCCGGTCCTCCCGATGGCCTGTCCGGGCCTGGTACAGTGTGTGCGTAGATGCAGCGGACAGACAGGTCTCAGTTGGTTTGGTGTCCTCTGCTTACTTTTAATACTTGTAAATACAACTTTTGGCCCGTAATTTTATTTTCCCCATTGTAGCGACCAGAGAGGGGGGGGGATATATCCAGTGTTACGTTATTATGAGAGCGCTCTGTTTGATTCTGAAATTGTATATATTCATATAAATATATACATATATATATATATATGTGTGTGTGTGTGTGTGTGTGTGTGTGTCCGCATCTGTAGCCTGTTATTGTCTCATTATACCGCACTGTGAATGAATCAAAGTAAATATAGAAGTGGTCATGAACACATCTGTCCATCAGACAGAGGGCTGCTGTGCCTCCTGTCATCATTAATGGACGTCTCTTTAAAATGACCGCTCAGAGGAGAGGAGTTCTCATTTCTCTAACCGCCTGCTGCTTCCCCTCCTCTCTCCTCGGTTCCCCTCCTCTCTCCTCGGTTCATTGGGAGTCGAGGAGGGGAGTTAGAGAAATGAGAAAGGGCCTTAGTGTACAGTTTTGCTGTTGTGCTGCTTGTGAAACCTGATGTACTTATATGATTCTGTTTTCTTCAAGGTTGTGTCTTCCTGGTCGAATGTACTTATTGTAAGTCGCTTTGGATAAAAGCGTCAGCTAAATGCAATGTAATGTAATGTAATGATTATTGTATTTTGTTACTCTGGCACAACAATTTCCTTCGGATAAATAGTCTTATCTTATTTCCTACAGATTATAAGAACGAAGTGTCTTATCTTTGCAGACAGATCTATAACTTAAAACACAAGTGTGGTGTTAGTAAAAAGTTAGACAAAACACAGTTTGTTAGATTGATCACAAAGGGGAATTGTAATGGCATTGAAGCAGGAAAAGTGTGAGTGTCATTAGATGTATGGACACGTATAAAAACATATATAAATAAGATGAATGATAACAGACCAGAAAGACAGCGATAGCGCCTCCGATGGCTTGTCCTGCGATGACATCACTCCAGTGGTTTCGGTACTCGGCCATTCTGTTGATGCCTGTGAGCATAGCCGCACTGACCAATGAGAGGCTGAGGAGGGGGCCCGTCAGGCGACCTCCACTGGATCCCACACAGGATATGACGTACATCTGGAAAGGACGAGTATTTTACTGTATGACACGGTTCAATGATGTACTGTAAGGGTAGATACACTGCTGGTCCACTCACTGCCAGATACACAGCTGTATACACACTCAGGGCAGCCTCTTTGGAGGGGAACGTCTTCCTGGCTCTCATGATGTCATCAGCATCACCAGTACAAGCATCTGATTGGCTGACAAAGTTAGCCGTGTCCAGGCAGCCGAGGGCAGTGTAATTGGGCAGGCAAACAGACAGGAAGTAAGGAGCCAGACTTCCTGTGACCAGCTGACCTGCGCTGACAAAGATGTCTGTTGTAAATAGACCGAAGATATACACACCTGCAGAAAAACACACAAAGATGAGATGAAATAAATGACTCACATCCACACATTGGTGATATTATTCTGTATTTAAATCCTTTACTTAAAGATGCGCACAAATAATGAAGCAGCTAATGATGCTGTCAACAGAAACAGAGCTAACAGTGTTAATCCAGGCCATAACAGCTAAAAGCAACATTTTATTACATTTAAAAAAAAGTATTTTTGAGGTTTGGTTGAGGTGGAGCTTAATTGCATTATTTTATATAATGTTGCATAGTTTACTCTAAACCAATGCATGATGTTTAATAAGATCATATGTTCTATGTAAAGTCTTCATTTGTAAAGTAACTATTATAACTTTCGAAAATAATCTATTGAAGTGAAATGTATTCCATTTCCCTCCCATTTACTTGAAATTAAAGTGAAGTATCACATTTCCTCAATTTCTATACAAGTTGATGTGCTAAGTTACTTTGAACCAATGCATCAACAAAGGTATTAGTCTAAATTAGCATTAAAGGTAGCATGGTCTTTATTATCTCAAATAGTGTATGCATGTATGTTAGCATGACACCTACAGTACTGTCGCACACACATCTATGTATGAAGGAATTATGCTAGCTAAGAAAGTAGCACTACCAACATCGCTGACACAAACGGATGCTAGCCGTTATGCTAATCAAAATGTTGCTTGTTTGGTTCCGCAGCCCAAAGGTACCATCATTTAATCAAACATTTGTCTTCAAAACGTGTCAAAACAATCTTGTGAGGCACATTTAAAAATACTTCAGCAATTTAATTTTAAATACCAAATTGTTAATGTGAAATTAATGGTCGATGTATTCCCCCAAGATTCTAAAAATATTATAAGTGTTGACTTTTTAGCAAACAAATGTCTGATTGCAAATCATGTCATTGTATCAAGACAATACACCTTGTTAAATATCTTGTTATAAAGACAAGTCTATAGTCAAAGCACTTTCTCTATTGCACAGAAACCATATTAAACATCAAGTCACAGCGACATCATAATAGCATGTTACAACTAGAAAGTGACCAAGCACCTACTTATAAAGTAATACTGTCTACGATCTTCCTACATCAGTATCACCACTGACTGATGACTAACCCTAACGCTGATTCAATGGTTTTCAGTATAATTGAACCACAATTAAATATGAGATTATGTAATAGAGATTAACAGCTCAAAGTGGGTTTAATTTAGTAATTATATTACCAAGGAAACGGAAGGTCCTGCGCACCATAGGGTTCACGTAGCAACAGTCTCCCATGACAACAACCGTGTCCTGGTCGTACAGGTTGTCTGAGTTGTAGTGAAGGAGGAAGATAACAAGCTCCACACCTGAAATCTGAGGAACACACAGAAAAATACTTTGGGATGGAAATACTTAGTAATACTTGGAATTAAATAACCAAAACTGGCACACACATACACTCACCTGCATTTAAAACCATGCAGAAACATGTCGTCTTCTAAATTCATTATAGCTAATTATTACTTCCCTCACAATAATGAACACGTGGGCCACTTTGAGGTGGGGTTAAAGTTAAAGGAACACCACTGCGCATTGATGCAGAAGATCTGGGACATTTTAAACCCAGCGGTCAATTGTTGGCTTCATGCTCTGAGCACTTGCCTCTCCACCATGCTGAATGCGATTCTCTATACGGAGCCAGCACTATAAAAGCTACTATAAAGTCTGTCCTTGAATGGGTAATAAAGTCACACCACTGGTCTGTTACATGTTGGAGTTCCTATTTGAAGGCCCGAAAGCGTTTCCTCTGTTTACCGTCCCTCCCACTAGAATAAACGATAAAACCCCAAAGGAAAATATTCGACAATCACGCATAATACACATGCATATTACTCTACCTGCCAAGCTTATCATCCCCCAAGAAAAAAGGTCTACTCAGATATTCTCCTTGGACGAAAAGCAGATTCTCAACACAGGCATTTAACTGAGGTGATAAGTGCATAATATCTAGTGAGGGTCATGCATAGGTGCATTTAGGATATGGGTGTGCTAAAGTAGATCTACAAAAAATGTAGTTATTACTCTTATAGACTTAAATGGTAATTTCTTAAAAAGTGAACAGGAACTAATATTAAACTGCAGAGGGTTCCAGCTTTATTTGAAGCCGGCAAATGGTAGTGACAGGCCTTAAAGGTGGGGTAGGTAATTTTGGAGAAACCAGCTCCAGTGCGCTAGAATTTGAAAATACACAGCCGGAAGAAATCTGCCACTTCCTCACAGAGTCCCTCCTCCAACACACGTGCACATGACCAATGAGGGCACGAGATAAGTTTGTGCACAGATGGAAGGCTGACAGGCAGGTAGGCCATCCAGTTACTTTAGCCGGGCCGGCTCAGATGATTGGTCGTGCTTTTTACAGCGCCACGGCTTCCACAGATTACATTTATTCATATATTTGTTGTCAAAGCACTTCAGATATTCATTGCTATCGGGATGTTAAGAGCATTCCATGGAGTATAACAAAGTGTATCTCGAGCCGGTTTCTCAAACTTACCTACCCCACCTTTAACATTTAATGAATTATGTTTGATAAGCCAATTTGGTCGTATTTTAGTCTGAAACTATCTTCTGTTAGCGCTTTTAAAAATTAAATTAGGGCATTATGCTGTTAAAGAGGACGTAATATTATTTGTTGGGTTCTATATAGTAGGTTTTGGTGCAGTTAAATGGTCTGCAAAGGATAAATAAATCCCTGTGTTCCCTCCAGAGGGAGTTTCTCTTAAACTCAGTTACTCACCAGTACCACAGGCAGCCCCCCCACCACAGAGAACAGTATGACGGGCTGCAGGCGGCCGTCCTGTTCGGGGCCGGGGTCTGGTTTGGTGAGGCTGGGGTCTCTGCAGATGAAGCCCTGCAGGGCGGGCCTGAAGGTGTCCGTGAACTCAAAGTAGTATGCCAGCATGGCAGCAACGGCCAGGATCACCACCTGGAAGTACATCATGGCCCCTCCAACAGTCCTGCTACCACGGCAATAAGGGATTTAGATCCTGGATACTGTCGCCACGGTGATGTAGAATCCAATTTATAACTTCCAATTACTGCTGTGTTTTCAAATCCAATTTTGACAACTTTTTGTTTGCTTCACGAAGTCTTGAAGCATATTCCAGTTTTCAAATATAACTGATGATGATGATGATGGTTATTTGCTATTCCAAGTCAGACAACGTTGCTCTTCTTGATCTTCTTTCTGTATGAGGGTATTCTTGTCCTACCGCTCCGTGGACTCTCTGAATCCTCTGAGTGCAGAGCAGCAGAATTCCTTCTGTCTCACTGAACACTCTCTAAAGAGCAGCCTGCAGTCTGTTGAACACTCAGCAGGGCTGGGCAAGATGGGGATTAGAGAAAGTGCAGAGCAGTCTGACAGTAGAGCGTTGAAACATGCTATATCTGAAACACTGTATTCAATTAAAGCAAACAGTTGCCTATTTATTGACAAATCCAGCAGAAACAGAACTATATATATATATATATATATATATATTATCATTCATCAGGAGTCTTTGTGTTTTTGTCCACATGGTTATGTGAGTATTTTCTCTTTTACCTCTGGTTTGGTCTCCACCAACTCCTGAGAGGATTATCTTCAACGGCTAAATGTTCCACTTCAGCTGTATTCTCTCACTGTGTCAATACAAGACAAACAGTTGTACCTCATTCACACCAACGCAACCAAGCTCCGTGATAGAGCTTTTCAGGTTCAGAACCGGTTCTTCGGTTTAGCTCCGGCTCTTTTCACACTGCCCAGAGTCCGACTGGTGCTGCGTCATTGTTTGCGTCATAACGTAACTGTTTGCGTGCCTGCTTCATAAAGCCAAACCGCGCGGAAACCCCTCACAGCTCACACCGACAACAACAACAATGGCCGATTGTGTTGAAGTGCTACTTGTTTTGGTTTTGCTCTGTCTAAACAAAATGGAAGAAATGGGACGACTTTAATACCAACTTTACAGTCGTTACACGCTACATTCAAAACTGCTTTACAATCGTAATCATCAACTTCAACGATGATTCCGATTCCCCCTGCCCACGCTTCGACGTAAGCGTATGCGGTGCTTTTGCTCTATCCCAGTGTTTCTCAAACTTTTTCATACCAAGGACCACTTAACCAATACAAAAACACTCGCGGACCACCTAACTCCACAAATATCCAAAAACACATCATTTTTTACAAATCGCCTGAAAATGGTACAAACAAGTGGCAACATGTGTGATGAAGGTGTTTATCTGGGCTATATCATGCAATCGAAAGTTAAACTTAAGCTCGCTCCAGTGCGGAAAACTTAAATGTATTTATTTATTTAAAATGTGAAATGTTACCAATATACTCACGGACCACTAGGGGGCGCTCACGGACCACCAGTGGTCCGCGGACCACACTTTGAGAAGCGTCTACCGGACAATTTTCTGGTGCTTGAAACGAACCGGATTCCGGAGCTAGAGGCTGCTCCGCTGCAGTGTGAACAGGAAAACCCGGTGCTTTTCAAGCTCCAGCTCCGAACCGGCCCTGAAACACCGTTGGTGTGAATGAGGTAATGGAGGGGTAAATGGGTTTCTATCAGAGGTTCGAACCCCAGCCCCTGCAGTCAATCTGTTGGCAAGATACTGCATTTACTAATGTACAGTACTAAAGTACAATTTTGAGGTAATTGTACTTTGCTTGAATATTTAAATGTTATGCTACTGTGTTGGTGTGGTGCTCGTATAAAATGCTCGGTTTGCTGACAACGCCACCTGGGGGAGTTTCGCCCCCAGGAAATTACTAAAAAACTAAAGTTATCCAATTTAATAAAAGGCAATCAGGTTCGTTTGAACACCACAGGCAGAGACAGTGTAAAGGATATTACCACAATGGTTATTTTATTTATACATAATTACATTTCTAATAATAAACAATATCATTTTCAAAAGGTTCTCCAGGGAGGAGGGAGAAGGACAGTGCTGGGGCTTACCAAGGCGGCAATTAACAAAATGGGGAGGAAGGGGTCAAATCAAAATCACCCGTGACACTGCACCACCAAGAACACCACCACCAGGGATTGGGTTTGCCGCCTCGAGCCCACAGCACCTGTCCGGCACAAGAGAGACAGTTAAAAATCAGCAAGATTATAAAACTCGGTTGGAGAAAGATAAACAAAAGGAAAACAACTAAAATAAACCAAATCTAAATAAACGTAAACAACAAAAATGAGTAAACTAATTAAACCAAACGTTAACAAAAGAAAATAAACAAAATCACACAATTAACAAAATACTATAAATGTACTCAAAACATTAGATGCACAAAACAAACAGATAATCAAAATGAATCAACTAAAACAATAAGTGTCCTTGCTATTCCGCGACCTCAAAACGGCCCTGGTGACAGTCCAACACGGAGTAGTAGTCAGGGCCTGTCAATTCTATGACGCCACAGCTCAATGCGAAAGCTCACCGAGCCAAAACAGCAGGAAGGGGGGGGAATGATGACCAGAGGTGGGGAGCGTGGTTACGGCGTCCCAACTTTTACAGCTAGGCACTGCCACAGAGCCCACCAGGAAGGGAGAATGTTTACGGCACCCCTGGAAAGAGGTTTAAAATGACTTGTGAATACTTAAGTTTATTGAATGAAAAGTGATCTATCTCATACACAGTGGCGGCGGGTCATTAGGGGCAGGTGGGGCACAGCCCCACCTAGTGTCAGAAGAAAGTATTACAAATAATGATTACAAAAAAATACTAAAAAATAAATAAAAAAATATATTTTAAGGTCATGTTTAATAATCTGATTCGTCTGTACATTTCTGTTTTAGTCTGTGTTCTTCTAATTAGTGTCTAGAGTGCCGTTTTGAGCTGTTTAGAGCCATGTGGGACAAAACCCGATCCTGCCCCTCCCTCTCACTGTCTAAGTGAACGGTGATTGTAAAAACTACACTGCGCATGCTCAGAGTATTTTTCTATTTAATGTGTGTGGCAAAAAAATAATGACCGTAGGGGCATAGTGCTCCCATCCCCACCATACGTCATCTCACATAATTCAGAATTGATTGGCTGTAAGTACTCACGTGTGCAGTGCTGCGAAACGTCACGTGTAGTTTGAAGAGGAGACGAGAGAGCAGCATATAGCTAACATCACCAGCGATTAAAAGAAGTAAAAAACGGAAAGAAAATGAATGAAGTTGACCATTTACTGGAGCACACATTTGAGACACTTAGTCTCGGAGAGAAACTGGAGCCCACCATCCACCGGAGCCCACCATCCACCGGATTTCCAAATGGTCCAGACTGCGGGCAAAGTTAAACGTGGGTTTAACGCTGAGTGGTTTGCTAAAAAGAAATGGCTAACGGCGAGCATCCAGAAGAATTCCCTCTTTTGCTTTCCTTGCCTGCTTTTTGGTGAAGATCAAGGTACTTGGTCGAGGACAGGTTACAAGGACTTAAAGCATCTTTCGGAGAGGACAATGAAGCATGAGAGCAGCAACAGTCATTTGGAAAATGCCGTAAAATTGGGATTACTTGGAAGGGTGAATGTTGCAGCTCAGATTGACAGCGCCTACAGACGCGGCATTGATTCTCATAATAGGAAGGTGGAAGAAAACAGGTACGTGCTTGGTCGGATCATCACCTGTATTAAACTGTGTGGGAAATGTGAGACAGCACTGCGGGGCCACAACGAGTTGGCGGACTCTCTGAATCCAGGGATATTCAGGTCAATTTTCGAGACAATGTGTGAGGGCGATTCCAGGCTTCAACGGCACTACGAAGCTCAGCTTGTTTTCAAAGGGACATCAAGCACCATACAGAATGAACTCTTGGACTGCATGTATGATGTGTACAGGGAGGAAATAGCCAAGCAAGTGGACAACACATCATTTGTTGCCGTTCAGGCCGACGAGACAACCGATGTCTCCTGTAAATCGCAAATGGTGATTGTGCTGCGATACATTATGCCTGACCTCACAGTTACAGAGCGTTTTTTGGAGTTTGTGGAAGTAAAGGACACAACTGGTGTAGGTCTCTCTAACAGCATCAAGGCTGTTCTGGAACCCCTGAAGCTGAAAGAAAAGCTAATCGCTCAGACCTATGACGGGGCGGCCGTCATGAGCGGTAACGTGCGCGGGGTACAGACGGTGATGAAGGAGACGTACCCAAACGCTCAGTTTGTTCACTGCTCCGCCCACCAACTGAACCTGACCCTGCAGCAACTGTGTTCAGCAAGGATGAGCATCCTGAAGGGGTTTTTTGCAGATCTAACTGCTTTTTCCACTTTTTTCTCCGGTGCTCCAAAACGTGTTGCAGCTCTTGCAGAGGCAACACAGAGACGCATCCCACGGCCACCGGCTGTGAGATGGAACTTTAAAAGCAGAACTGTGAACGCGGTTTGGGCAACCCTGTCTCCTAAAAATTACGTTCCCACAGAACTAAACTGCATTCTCAATTACGTTAAGCTAGAAACGTATTTTCTCCCACGTTACGTTCGTTATGAACGTATCTTAAATACGTTTATTTTCTACATATCTTTGCCATTTATTGCCTTGCTTATAATAATGATAATAGTCATTTATAAATATCATTTTAGAGCACACATTTTAAATCGAGAATCGGGCTCGATATATGGTTAAATTAAAATCAGTAGGCGAGGCTGTAATTTCGCCAGCTGTTACTCTCATGAGCGAGGCAGAAAATAATAGTTTTAACTTGACAAAAAGCTGCTGTGTCGTTTATTGCACCTCAAAGATTAAAACAAATCCAGAGTTACTTGTTTCTGTACTTCCTCTAAGAAGAAAGGACAGTAAAAGAACAGCTCTGTGGCTTCAGGCTTGATCGCCGTTCAAATGACAGCGTTGGTTTCCCCAAAAGTGGGCGGGGCTGTAAAGTGACGTTTTACTATCATCTATTATTCAAAACCATTCTATTTATTCTAACGTAAATTACATGCCAGTGTTTTATCTTTTTATTTATTTGTTTTTATTTTAAATCGTATAATGTCGGACTTTTTTCCCGTCTGTGAGGAAAATAAATGGGGTTTAGAGCCTCAAAATACTGAAATCTGTATTTTTTAAAATCTTTTCCTTCTAATTTGTTATTATTTTCTAAATAACACACTGTTATTTACTCAACCATAACACACAATTATCCTTGTTTTTATTTATTCGTTTAATTCTATAATCTTGGGCTTTTTAGCCGTAAATAAAGTCACCGGAAACAGGCGGGACATTTCGAGCGATACACACCACAAACCCACCGAACTGATTACCCAAGATCCTCAGCTTGAAGCTCGTTGATTGGATGTTTTAGCCGCAATAAACGCTGGGATATGGTGTTAATAAGTTGTGATATCCGAAAACGAAAAATAAAATAATACCTAATTCAGAGTGTTCTTGCTTTTCTCTTTGGAAGTCATCACATAACGGCATTGTAATACACGGTTCGGCTGCATTAAATATTATACATCTGCCGTAGTTCTTTATTTATAGAGCCCTGATGAGAAGACTTCTAGACAAACATGAGGAACTGCCGCCAAAACTGAATACTTGATGTGGATCATAAATATATCAACAATTAAACAACATCTTCAATTTCTTTTCACAAAATACGTCTCCTTGCAGTATCAATAGTAATTCGGCTGACTTTTATATTTGATCCAATTGGTAGATAGGCTGTATTTACACCATAAAGGTGCACAGCTGATAGAAAAGGACTTGTAGTTTTTAAAGATATTACTGATTTTCTTTGAATATAAGAATGTAAATACTGAGTTGAGAGAATAGTCAGGGGATTTGGGTGATGGGAGACACATCTATGGATTCAGAATTTCAATAGCGTACCATTAAATGACGGATATACCTTTCTGTCTGTGATGTTTTACAAATCAGATATTAATGTGTAGAAGTAAAACATGTGAAATAATATAGCAATATCCTGTAAAATTATGTAAAAACATGAATAAAACTACACATCTTCAGATGTTATACATACATAAGTGTTCTACACTAATAATACAAAGTTATTATTAGTATGCTGTGTGTACCTTGTGTGCACCGCCTAGTGGTTAAAGCACGTTATTGAATAATTTTTGTTGAATAATGTTATTTGATGAAAACAATATTAAGAGTACATACTTTCATAGGGGGAAAGTAGAAGGTCAATGATAGAAATATAGAATATAAAAAGTCAAGAAGATACTATAAGTGATCTCTACAATAAAACAGTTTAGTGCCGGATGTACAAAGATATTAATAGGAGGATGTGTAAAACAGAAAAACGAATTAACCTTTATTAACACATTAAAGAATACTTTAGGTTAAGGTCTTATTTTAAACAAGAAAAAAGCTTTGGGGGTATCTATTTACCGATGAATATTAAGCCTGACAAAGTACTTAACGTCTAATATATTGCTTTCCTGCAATGTTAACTATGTTGAAGCACTTCTTTTAACTGATATTATACACATTAATTATACTCTTATGTATGTAGGTAGAATAAGAAATGTGCAGAATATGACAGTTTAATGGTGGAGGTACACACATATTGATATATGTCTTGTAATGCGCTGTTGAGGAACCTGCGACCCAAGTTGTGTATATGATCAAGAAACCTTAGAAAATCTTGAAATCTTGAAAGGGATGTGCAAAATAGCCATTATACAGTTTTTAATTAACTATTAGTAGAGAATAACGAGTAATGAATATACTTTATAGAGATCTGCAGATAAATGTTTCGTCTTCTCAAGCACCACCTATCAAATATCTCTCCTGATTGTTGGCACTTGACAATCACCTTCCCTGAATTTTACTCAGGTGTAACTAAAGTCTGCTTTAAGGGTTGTTTATATTTCACATCATTAATCAGAATCTGCAAAGTAACTAAACTAAATGTAGTGGAGTAAAAATACCAGGTTAACCTCTGAATTGTAGTGGAGTAGAATTACAAAGTAACAATGAGCTGTCGTGTGGGTATATATTAATGCTGCCCATTATGGATACAAGCGATTTTTACCCATTTAGTAATTACATGTTTTAAATGTGTACACACCAATGTGTTTCCTATCGCCTAAACCTCCAGGGCTGTACACAGTTTAATACTGGCAACTTCTAATTTTGGGAAAAACGTCTTTTAAAACTACAATTCCCAGTAGATACGTGCCATAGAGAACATGTTGCGAAACACAAGCCAGCATGTGTAGTTCTCGGGGGGCGTTCGAGTCCAGTTTTGAATAGTCTGCCGTGGTTTCGTTCCATTTCAAAGAGCTTGACGCTCGGCGTAACCTTGGCGCACTGCCACTCCAACATCACGGGGTTAGTCAACGGGACTGTAGTCCCAAACGATAGCTGGGGATTATGGGTAGTGTAGTGTCTTCGGCCATCCTAAATCTCGAAATGTCCCGTCTGTTTCTGGTGACTTTATTTACGGCTAAAAAGCCCAAGATTATAGAATTAAACAAATAAATAAAAACAAGGATAATTGTGTGTTATTGTTGAGTAAATAACAGTGTGTTATTTAGAAAAGAATAACAAATTAGAAGGAAAATATTTAAAAAAATACAGATTTCAGTATTTTGAGGCTCTAAACCTTATTTATTTTCCTCACAGACGTTTATACGATTTAAAATAAAAACAAATAAATAAAAAGATAAAACACTGGCACGTAATTTACGTTAGAATAAATAGAATGGTTTTGAATAATAGATGATAGTAAAATCTACGTCACTTTACAGCCCCGCCCACTTTTGGGGAAACCAACGCTGTCATTTGAACGGCGATCAAGCCTGAAGCCACAGAGCTCTTCTTTTACTGTCTTTTCTTCTTAGAGGAAGTACAGAAACACGTAACTCTGGATTTGTTTTAATGTTTGAGGTAAACGACACAGCAGCTTTTTGTCATGTTAAAACTATTATTTTCTGCCTCGCTCATGAGAGTAACAGCTGGCGAAATTACAGCCTCGCCTACTGATTTTAATTTAACCATATATCGAGCC